ACTTCTGCCACTCTGCCAATCATCTCTGTCCCCTTCTCCCTCATCACCCATCCTCCAGACAGAGCAGAATGCCGCCCCCCCCCCCCCCCGCCGTCTCAGCACTGCAGAGCCCATTCTACAGATGCCTTAGGTCTGGAATCCCTGGCTGCCATCATTCTCTTGTGCTGACCCAGATCCTCCCAGCTGCAGCAGGCAGGCGGACACCCAGAAGGGCAGCATGGATAGAGACGCCAAGGAAATCAGCACCCCAGCCATGTCACCCAGGCCCTTAGCATGTTCACCCACGGAGACTGAGCTCCATCTGCAACCTGGCCCTCTTCGGGTTCCCAGAAGGTTCTCTGAAGGTGCCATCAGTGAGCACATGGACTTCAAAGCAATTATGAAAGCTATAGGAACAAAAACTAGTGCGTTCATTCAGCAGCAGCAAATTACACTAAATTATCTTAGCAAATAAAGCAAAATGTCAGGTCAGCGACTGGCAGAGATGCATGTTGGTCCTTCCTCCAACACCCTAAGAGTGGGGGTCACATTCTTCAGGAAACACTTTGGAGAGGATATTGAAACATGAGATCAGGAAGGGAGAAGAATAAGGTGCAGACCAGCCCCCCTTCCCCCCTGCCCTGAAAGACTGCTGTCCCAGGGAATTATGGGACCAGGTAGGCAGACTCAGGAAGGACCCAAGGCCAGAGACCCCACAAGAGGATGGTGAGGGACAGTGGAGAGGAAGGATGCTCCAGTCGCTCCAGTCACTGGCTGGTCTGCGGTCCAATAGAGGCTTGGGATACCCTGGGGCAGAAGCAAGTCTGAGACACAAAGGGAAGGAAGCAGGAAGAGCGCGAGGCTCCTTCTTTGAGGCTGGCTCACGCGTGCACACTGGCTGCAGGGAGTGGGACAGATGGTCTTTGCCTCTGTGCAGAATACAGTGCTGGAGGGAGGGAGGGAGGGAGCCAGAACCAGCCACGTGGCTGTGCACATCTGGAGGCCTGGGGGCGACCAGGGAGAGAGACAGAGGGAGAAAGGGAGGCAGTGGGAGGAGGCGGGGGGAAGGGCCCCATTTCCTACACTGAGCTGAAGGGTCTGAGCCATCATCCGTGGCACCCCATCCTTCCTCACTCCCCCGGAGCCTGGGTGCCTGGTCTGACTGAGGGCAAGAATTTGGGGTTCCTGCTCTCCCCTGGGCCCACAACACAGGGCCCCCCTTCTTCATGCACATAGGATCACAGATTCCCAAAACCTTCTTTGCACCTGTATTTTCTGTGCTTCCTTCAGTGAGACAACGAACACCCCTTGGTCTGATTCAGTGATCACTGGGAACAGCTGGCTTGTCTCCGGTGCCTGGTCTCAAAGGTCTCTGCTCAGGATTGTCCCTCTGAGCCCTATTTGGCATTAACTTGTAAGCCAGGCTAGAGCCTCTGGGTCACACACATCGAATATTTAGCAATGATCTCAACCAATCGCATCAGAACTTCTAGGCATGGAGCCCAAGCACCAGTATTATTAAAAATCTCCTAAGGGATTCTAACGTGCAGCCAGGGTTAAGAACTATTGGACTAATGGAATCTGGAGTTGTATCACTAGGAACATAGTGCTCAGGATCAAGGAGGTGAGAGAGTGATCTATTATGAGCTGAAACATTATCAGGCCAGGGCCTCAGTCTGAAAGGTTGGTGATGAAACATGTCCAGAGGAAGGCGTGGGGCTAGAGAAATTATATCCGCTGAGGGAGGTTGAAGAGAGGAAAAGCCTCGGACACGGGGGAAAGACTGGGAACAAAGGTCAGAGACCCTCTGTCTCTGAGGGCTGGGATGTATCTGCCCCATGAGATCCTGGATGTCCTGTGTTCTAACAAGAACCACCTCGTTAGTAGTGAAATAGTCACCACTATGAACAGAGGCAGGGGACTGTCACAAGGTAGAGGCTGAAGGGAAGGCGGCCCAGAGCGGGTGGGAGAGGAAGAGATGACCACAGGCTCCACCCCTGAGGTCCCTTTAAGCCCAGCTGGGGGCTGGAATTCCCAGCACCCTTCCTGCCCTATCTAGAATCCCCACTTAGTGGCCCTAAAGTGTTCTCTGCTTGCTCATTCCTGCTGCCACAGAGACTGGCTAAACAGGCTGTCTGAAAAAGTTGGCAACTCTACCAACACTTAACATACACAGCCCTGTGACCCTGAGATCCCACTTCTGGGGCTCCATACTGTAGAAACTCAAGCACAAATCTGCATTATTTGTATCCAAATTACAAGAACTGGCAAAATATATTCTAGAACAGCAGTACTGTGAGATACTATGTAGCCATTCAAAAAGAATGAGGGATGTCTTTGAAAGAAGCTAGACACAAAATGGTATGGACTGTAGGGTTCCATTTATAGGAAATTCAAGAACATCAAGGGGTGCCTGGGTGGCTCAGTCGGTTAAGCTCAGGTCATGATCCTGGAATCCCAGGATCCAGTCCCACACCAGGCTCCCCGCTCAGCGGGTAGTCTGCTTCTCCCTCTGACCCTCCCCCGTCTTGTGCTCTCACTCTCTCTCAAATAAATAAATAAAATCTCCAAAAAAATATATACATATGGTTTCAGTTTTATAGAAGTGTTAGCCTAGGGAAAAGTCTAGAAGGATAGCAAACTCTTAATAGTACCTCCCTCTGTGTGGGGGGACTGGAGGTGAAGACAACCACTCTGTACATTTCTGTTGTTAAATAACAAAATTCAACCGAGTAAATCTGAAGATCTAATGGGCTTTATTAAATGATTCAGGCCACCAAGCCAGTAGAGGGAAGCTCCCAGGAGTTGTACAAAACGGAAAGTTCTTATAGGAGGGTGGGGCAAGAAAGTTTTTGCAAAAGGATAGTTCCAGGCAAGGCCACTTTCCCTGGGCAGGGAAAAGCAACAGGAAAAGCCAGGGGTCGTATCATGCAGATTACCTTCCTTTGGGGGATGGAGAAGGCCCACATGGCAGATTTATTGGCGACCCTACTAAGAAAATCCCTATAAGACGGTATTTCTGGGCGACGTCGAAAGTGCAATTAGATTATATATTAAGTCCCAGTGTAGGAACTTGGCCTAAGCGATGCCATTTTGGGCCTGTGGTGTTTTGTTTGTGTTTGCTTGTTATTTTAACACCATATTGTTTGCATTTGCAGTGTTCCCACGCATTACTGCACGCAGTCCTCCGCTCCTGCTTCTCTGGGAGTGCCCTGCACTTGGAGGCCCGGGATTTTGCTACTTGGTGCAAACCTTGGCTTCACATTTTAGTTTAAGACTTGGGCTTTGCAGAAGCCCCCGGCAACCAACCTGGGAAGGCACAGTTCCTGCCCATACTGAGCAGAGGCAGAGTGCTCCGAAAGAGGACAATCAGGATGGCTCAGGGCCCCCAGCCCTGCTGTCTTCACCCCCATCCCAGGCTCCTCCCTCTGAGCAATCAGATCCACTAACTGGTCTTCACAGCCCTGGTTACAAGTGCTCCTGGAGGTGAATTCCGGTCGCACCTTGAGCCAGCCAGGCAAATGAACCCTTGCTCTGTCCCCTCTTTAATATGGATGTGACACCTGCAGGCTACAGCTTGTCGCACTGTGAGAATTATTTCTCCATTAAAATGCAGAAGTTGGAGCTTTGCCCAGGAAAGGCAGCTAAAAATACTGCTCTCTGGGGCACTTATCATAGGGGACTTAGTGGCCACCTTCCTTAGCCCTCAGCCCCCGGGAAAGTACCCCCACCTGCCGGGTCCCTCCTGCGAGCATTTGATCCAGTGTCTGAGGCTTATCCTGGCCCCATCAGGAAGAAAAAGCACTGGTTCCCATGCCTCTTTTATAGATAGGCAAACTGAGGTCACTGCGCTCCATCTACAAAGTCACCTAGGGAGTAAGAGAGTGCAGCCCCGACAGCAGGGAAGAAAAATAACCCCCCGCATGCACCCAGCACTTTATAGTTTGCAGCATCTTCTTACCCACTGTCTTGTCCAACCTTCAGACAGATCCTATGAAACATGAACCACCGTCGACCCCACCTGGCAGGTAGAGTTTAGCCCGGTGGGGTAAGCAACATGCTCAAGGGTGCAGGGGGGAGGAGTACAGGGCAAAGGCAGAGCCCCAATACAAGTCTTTTGATTCTAAAATCCACCCAGAGCACCCGTAGTGGGACTTCAAGCAAGGTGACCGGTCTCACTGCGGGGGCCATGAGCTTTTATAATAGGCACTCTGGTTTGTAAAGAATGCTGCATACATTTCAGGGGAGGACTCAGCGCCCTACTTAATGGATAGGAAATCAAGGGTCAGAGGTATGAAGGACTCGGTCACAAGTTAGCAGTGGAGCTGGGAACAAAAGTCAAGTGTCCTGACCCCCCCCCCCCCACTGTCCTGCAGCCCCAGCGCCTTGTCACCCAGGGGCAAATGGGCACAGTATGCTCTGCAGGCTTCCCCGTCCCTGAACCCAGGCCCCTGGAAACCTGTTTATCTGCCACATTCACCCCTCTTCTCAGTCTTCGGAGGTGGAGGATGGTGAAACCTCAGGTCTGTTTCTTATATAAGAAAAGTAAAGTCCAGAGAAGCTAGATGCCCTACTCAGGGTCACAGGGCAGGATGAGGTCCTGGACCTGGATCTCTGATTCAAGTCCGGTGCCTATTCCACGGCGCGAGCCCAACACCAGCATGCAGAGCTCCTTCCCTGGTATCAGCTTCCTACTAGGGCTCAGCTTCCCCATCTGTAAAATGGGGTGCTAGAAGTGGCCCTAAGCAAGCCCAGGATCCGAGCCTCCCAAGATCAAGAAATTAGGTGGTGCTTCCAGGAATGGGAGGAGCCAAGCCTTTCTGGACAGCCAGCTTCACTTTCCCAAGGGGGAAACTGCGGCCAGGGAGGGGCTGCATGGCCACAGAGACCCAGCGACTGAGGGGTGGCGAGAGGGAGGAGACACAGGCATGCCCGCTCTGGCCTCAAATGTCCAGCAGGGGATCCTTCCTACCCAAGTCCTGCTGCCCAACCTGCTTCCACACACTTCTCGGAGAAAAAGCTTTCTACAAAGCCATTTATTTTTCCCAAAATACACCCCCAGTTAACAAAATTCCTCAGAGTCCCACATTTAAATTAGGCATGCCACCTCTTCCGTTCCCTGGGGAAGGAGGAAATGTCAGCGGGAGGACATCAGAAGCGTTCCGGAGGCCGGGGGCTGGCGAGAGACAAGCCAGGAGGTGTCCTCCCAGCTCCAGAATAGCACCATGGCGGGGGCTGAGAGGCTGTATCCCTGTACCCTCCTGGCCCTGCCCCGTCCCCAGGCTTCCGCTACACTTCTGCTCTCTGGGGTTCGGGGTGCCGTGGCCGCCTGCCCACCTGCTCACACCTTGAAAGACTGGAAACCATCAGATTCTCCGACTGTAGCAAGAGGCTCTGCCCCGTCTCCAGGTTTCTGCCCGCACCCCTGCTCTGAGGAGGGATTAGGGATGGCCTGGGCATGAGGTATCCAGGAGGCCATGGGCACATTGGAGGGGTACTGTAGGGAGCCGGGCAGGAGCCCCTCACAAGGCGCAGGCCGTGGCAGGCGGTTGTCTGTCTCCTCGCAGTTCCCCAGTTGAAGGACAAGCTCCTTAACGGAGGGCCCTGTCTTCTCACAGCGGGTCCCAGGTACCTAAGGCAGTGCTGGCACCCCGTGGGTGCTCGGTGAACGTGACTAGAGTGGATGAACAGAAGGACAGGAGGGAAAAGCGGAGGGCTACAGGCTGACCCCCAGGGGGCCCACGCAGACCCCCAGAGACCCCATGTGACCAGCACATGCTTCCCACAGGTAGGCAGCCCCAGGGCACAGCCCAGGGCACCACGGGAGAGACTGGGCGAAGGGAGGTCCCTATACGTCCCAGCACAGGTGTTGGTGTGTCCCTGCATGCCCGGGGAAGGGCCCTGGCTTCACTTAGTGATGGGGGAAAGGCCAAGGCGGGGGCCAGAGGAGGGGAGGCGGGAGGGGAGATGCCTGTGGCCTCAGGAGATGCTGAAGCTGCAGTGTCCCTGTCTGGGAGATGGGCTTACGGCGGGGGGAGTGGAAGAAAAGGCTGAGAAATGAAAACTAGTGTATCAGAGCCACTGGAGAAAGAAGGCCAGGGGTAACTGCGTATCCTGTCTTTGGAGAAAGAAGGCAGAGGATCCGTCTGAATATTGTGTCCTGCGGAGAAAAAAGAGGCAGCCAGATGGTCCATGCAGCATATCCACTGGAGAAATAAGGCGGTGGGGTGGTGTCTGTATTATGTCCATAAGACACAAGACAGCAGGATGGTTTATGTATCGTGTCACTGGAGAAATAAGGCAGCAAGACTTGGGAATCACGTCCATCGGAGAAAGAAGGCTGTGGGGTGGTCTCTCTGTCCTTTGGAGAATGGGCAGACCTGCCCGAGTGGGAGCCATCTGTTGGGGGCAGGGCTCACACTGAGGCCCCGGTGCAGCCAGAGGTGGGAGCCCCCAGGCCAGAGCAGCAGCTCCCTGGTCTTCGTGGTCAGGCTATTTCTTGTCCATCATCTGCATTTCGTGACGGAAAGAAAAAGTGGGGGAAAAGGCATTAAATGCAGGAGTTGTACTCTTGGGCGTGCTCCAGAAGCCCAGGCGCATGCTCACGCACTTCCGGGTGGGGAGTGTGTGTGGGGCTGGCCGCCGCAGTCTGACTAGCAGCCCCTGGGCTAAGCACTGCCCTGGAGGCCCAGACAGACGCCAACACAGGAGCTGGGCATCAGACAGACCATGAGGCCCCTGAGGGAGGCTGCCTAATCCCCACCAGCCTCTCTCTCCAGCCCCATGGCTCCCCCACCCCACACCCCTCCCAACCACTTTCCCTGGCACGCTTGTCCCCTCCTACCTCCCCCTCCGTCTCCCCTGGCCTGGCTCCCTCCCCTCCACTAGCAAGAAATCCTTTCCAGCTCCCCTTCCCATGCTGAGTCCCTCTGGCTCTTGTCTCCACATGGGGGGCACCAGTGGACTGGCCCCGCTCCACTTCCTGACCTGGGGGAGAGTTTCAAAGGAGGACCAGGGCATGTGTGACCCCGCTGCTCCCTCTCCCATTCTTTGGGGTCTGTCTGTCCCAGAGGAAGTAGTCCTCCCTTCTGGGCGCCGCCTCTGTACACATGCAGTGTGACCAGAGACTGGAGGGCCAGGGAACGGGACTGGGAAGCCTGCTGCACCCCGCACCCATGCCATTCTCCCAAAGCTCTCTTCTAGAACCGAGCTGACATTTTCCTCTCCATCTGCTCAATCCTTCCATGCCTCATTTGGTTCAGAGCAACAAGGAGGCAGATAACTTGTCTCTACCCCTCCAGACCCCAACATAGGCCTCTTACTGCCACGGAACATTCTACAGCATTTGAAGGGCCTTGCTTTACAGAGCATCTCTGCATTTGTCACCCTGCCTAATCCTCACCACCATCCTGCAAAGGAGCTGTGCATTCCACAGATGTGCATTCCACAGATTCCTGGAAGGTCCAAGGCAGGGACTAGACCCAACGTATCCCTCCCGATGCCGGGGCCGCTTTCTTCTGCACAATGCTGCCTTCCCAAAGCCCTCTTACTGCCTTTCGTGAAAGTCGGAGTCTATGACCCTCTCGTATCACGTATTTTGTGCAGGCTTCTGAGGGCCCCATTGCTCCCCCTCCCCCCGCCGCCCCTGCCTCTGGAAGTTTCCTGAAGATATAGGGCCTACGTCCTTCCCTTCTCCCCTAAATGTAGGGACAAGCATCCAGAAATTCAGGGAACGTTTCTTTCCTGACAGGGACACCCAGGCAAGCTGAAAAGTTTCCATAACCTTTAGCAACCAACTTTGATTTCTAGGTGGAAGCCACTGATATCGAGCAGCAAGTCTGAATCAAGGAGTGTTTTGTTCCAAATACACACACACACACACATTTCCCCAGAAACCCGCACACACAGATGTCGCTGTGGTTACTTTCAGTAAGGAAGAATCTCAAACTTACTTCCAACCAACCACTTCCTAACGTAACCGCTGATGTTACAGAATATGAATAACGATGATTGTTAACATTTACTAACTGCCTACTACATGTCAGGAACGTGGCTGACCAGCCAAAAGCCATATCCTCTGGGCTAGCTGGAGTTAGGCATCATGTGACTAGGTCCAGACCAATGGGCGGAAACTGGAGTAACAGGAGCTATTTCTAGTCAAGCCCTAGAAAAAAAATGTTCCTCCCTGTCCTCCCTCCCCCTTGCTTCTGGAGAAGGCATGGGAGCTGGAGCTCCCTGGATGGAAGCTCTGAGAGGAAGAGGGCAGAAACCAATAAATGGAACCTAGCTCCAGGACATCAGTGGCCCTCAGATCACCTATGCTTAGACTGTTACAGGAGAGAGACATAAATCCCTGTCCTTGCAAAGCCTCTGTCACATCTACATCCGCTTAGAGCAGCTGGGACCTTGGCTACTCCACCCCCTGCCATGCCGACAGGGGAGAGTCAAGGCTGCGCTCCTGGGGAGGGAGCCTCAGGTGACCTGTGAGCAGGTGATGATCACCCTACCACCAACGACCCTCCCCAGCTTCCTGCACACAGAGGTGCCAACACACAGAGACACAATCTCGAGCAGCACGTGTCTTTACCTTCTTTGTTCTCAGAGTGTTTCAGAGGCCGCAGGGCTGCAAAAAAAGGAAGGAGCACACAGTGAGGGAGGGGGAGCTGTGGAAAGTGGGGGGTCAGGGGTCAGGCAGATGGACAGAAGCTGAGGAAGAAGTGAGGTCTACATGGACTGGGAGAAGTTGGGAGGATGAGGGCAACCTCCCAGCCCCAGGGAAGGGGCCCTAGGCTGCTGTCTCAAGGCCCAGCTCCACTCTGTATCCTGTCACCCCTCTCTCTGGGCCTCAGTTTTCCACATCCGTACAATGGGAACAGCTACCCTGCCCTCCAGTGAGCCAGAGATGCGGAAGTACACCGAGCCTGCTCCGCAAATAAGAGTGAAGTAAGAAGCCACAGGAGGCTGCAGCCCTTCCCAGGTGGGCCTGGGGTCATACAGAACGGAGACTGAACAAATCTCTAGGCCCCCCTCCTCTCCCTACCCCCTCCCTCTGTCAACTACATCTGCCTCCGAGCAAGAAAAATGAGGCCTGATCCCAGGGCTGTCTCCACACCAAAGGCAGAGAGTTAATTGGCATCATTTACAGCAGTCCCCAGGTGTCAGTCTCCTGCTCTTCCTCCACGGGGGTGGGGAGGGGACCGATGTCAACTGGCACCATCCCAAATGGCTCAGCGGGAACCTGGCTCTCCCAGCCCAGGAGCCCCAGGAGGGAGGGCAGCGAGGCCTCCAGTGGCCACGAAACACCAGCGCCGTGGCACCCACCCCAAGCTAGGCTCCAGGTTGATGTCTCCAAAGCACCATGCCCTTTGCAAACCACCTGTGTGTCCAGTCACTCGAAAGAGCCTCTGGTGCCATCAAGACAGGGCCAGCATAACATTTTACAGAGGGACACTGAAGCCCAGAGCAGCAAAGCACTTTGACCAAAGTCACACAGCCTCTAACCAGAATGCGACTATCTTAAATTGTTTACCTGTTAACAAGACTCCAAGCTATCAAGCATGGACCAGGCACCAGGGAAGGTACTAGATCCTTTAAATACATGATCTTATTTAATTAAACCCACACAACCTATGAAGGAAGACAGTTATTAGGACAAAACCAAGACTCAAAGATGACGAAACTGAGGCTCAGAGAAGCAAAGTGACTTGCTCCAGGCCACTCAGCCCACGAGCGGCAGCTGGAACTTAAGCCCAGGCTGCCCTGTCGCCTGAGCCCTCCCTCTTCCCCTAGGAAGCCACCAGACCCCACAGTTCGGGGTCACTCAGAGTGGAGCTGGCCCTGGTAGAAAGGTCAGGTAGGCGGGAAAGACGAAGCAACACCTGAGAAGGAGTCAAGGGAGATCCACATCCAGGCCTAACACTGAGCAAAGACTGGACTCATCCGGGCAGGAGGCCACAGCCCACAGAACACACTGCATCCAAACCCCAAGCAAATCTGGCTCCTCTGGATCCTAGAGAGACCCTAGAGATCTCCCCGTCCCTGCGTCCTTCCCTCAGCCAATAAGGCCAGCTCTAAGATCAGGCTTACCGGTCTTGGATCCCTCTCCATCCCCATCCTGGTCCTCAGCACCTGGAAGACAAGGACTCAGTAAACAAGACTTTCTCAGCCCACAGTCATTCCTGCACTTCTCCACCTGGGAGCGCAGGAGGCAGGTAAGCAGGCTGAGTAGGCCTGGCCTGCGCTCCGGATGTTGACACAGGGTCGGAGCCTGAGACCAGCACAGAGCAGAGCCCACCCCTCCCCCAGCCAAGCACCATCTCCTCACCCCTCCAGCCAGCCACACCCACCGACCCCATCGCTCCCCCATCCACCCACTTACCAAGCCCCCCTACCACCAGCCTCCAACATGAGCGCCACCCACCTACCTGTGCGCCTGTCCTTCTACCAGCCCCCCTGCCGCCTGCAGCACAGACCGCCACCCACCTATCTGTCCCTCCCCCTCCACACATGCACCCTCCTTCCCGACGCCCAGCCAGCTCCCACCTCTGACCATCTACTTCCATGTTCACCCAGGGAAGCCTCTGTGTACCCACCTACCACCCACCGGCATCACCCCCCGACTCACCAGTGTGTGCTCACCACCCACCACTCCCCCAAGTTGACACACTTCCCAACCAAGCTCAAACCGCCCATCTACCAAGGTCAACTCACCACCTGCCAATCACCAAAGTCAACTCACACTGATCCCAACCCAGCTAACGGCAGCTCCTTCCAACTCTGCCCACTGGGAAGCAGACACACCCTCACACAGGGACCCGCACACCCATGCGGCATTCACGCGTGTGCACGAGATTTCCACGCTCTACACCCACGCTGCTACACGCAGACACCCTCGGGTGACTTCCACCCTCACCATCACACTGCAGCCCCACACGTCCACCACTCAGCCTGCCATATTCCCACCTTCCGAGGCAGGCTCACACCTGTTCACACATACAAGACACATTCAGCCTCAAGGCCACACACACACCATCAGGCCCCATGTGCACACTCAGGCTGATGCCACAGACACACCAACATACCCGAAGACACGTGTGGGTGTGCACACCCTCTCTCCCTCACCTGCATTCTCCTCCTCACAGCTCTGCTTGATCTTTCTCCAGCACACGAAGGCCAGGGCCACCAGCAGTGCGACCAGACAGACAGACAGCCCCACGGTCACCCACAGGGCCTCAGGGGGGAAGGTCATGGGCTGCCCTGGGAGGGGAAGTGGGGAGAATGGGAAGAGACGGTCACACATGAGCCCCGTGGCCCTGAGGACTGCACACCCTTGGCCAAGAGGTGTGAATAGGGAGCTCCCACCCTCACTGGGCTCCAATGCTATGAAGGGAGCTCACTGAAGTTCCCACGCTACTCCCCCACACCCCAAGACACATCCAAACCCCGACACAGCCATGGCTGGTGTGGACGTGCCTCAACTTGGCAGGGGTGAAGAGTCTGCAGTTGATGATGCTCTAGAACCTTCTATGGCTCCCCACTGACATTTGAATAATGCTTCAGTCCTCTCAAGGACTTCTATTATGTGGCTGTTCTTTCCCCTCCCCCAACCTTTCTTTCCATGTCCACCTCAGGAACCTCTGCTCCAGCCAAGCTGGTGAACTAACCATTCTCTGCAGAGACAACTGGCTCCTTCCAGCCCCCACGCCATTGCTGTCAGGTTCCCCTACTTAAAAAATGCCCCCAAATGCTCACCTAGTTTAAGAGGCCCTCCCTGACTCGTCCAGCCCTGCCCAATAATGACATCTCCCGTCCTAGAGATCGGGAGTCAGCAAATTATGGTCTGCAAGCCAGATCTGGCCTGTGGTCTGTTTTTGTACAGCCTGTAGGCTAATAATAGTTTTTATATTTGTAAAGGTTGCAAAAAAAAGAAACAGGAGGAGCAGAAGGGGAAGGAAAAGTGGCAGCAGCAACCAAGATCGTATGTGGCCCACAAAGCCTAAAATATTTACTCTCCAGCCCTTTACAGAAAATGTTTGGGGAGCCCCGCATGTAGATGGGGGTGGGAGCTGAGGGTGCCGTGGTGAGGGTTCTGGGTTTACCCAAGAAGGGGAGACTTGCCAGGGGAATGTTTCCGTGAAGTGCGGCAGGCCCGTCTGTTAGCTATCTCGCGGCAGAGGGACGGGCTCAAGGCGCCCGCATCTGGGTCAGGGCCAGCCGCTGTCCTGAGCACGCCAGCCAGCAGCCAGGCCCTGGGCCCATGCCAGGTCCCGGGCAGAAAGCTTGGGGACCTCAGATAAAAAAAAAGACAGCACTGCTTTCCTCTGCTCTCTGCGGACCACGAAGGCCCAGGGCAGCAGCGGCAGCCGGGGGGCTAGCTGGTTCTGCAGAAGGCTACATCAGGGCAAACAGCAGTGCCAGGAGAACCTTCGGCCACAGAGGCCCCGGTAGGGACGCGGGCATTTGCAGCAGATGTTCCCTTGGCCGGCATGGCTGGCAGAGCTGCCACTCAGGACGTTGCAAGCAAAGGGACCCGTCACCCAGGGGAGCGGGGAGGACAGCAGCTGACACGAGGGGCCAAGAAGGCCAGTCCAGGAAGCCCATGAAAGAAAAACCCCTGGGGATCCCGGGTGGGGATCCTGCAGCAAAGAAGGGAGCAGAGCCACAGAAATACTCAGGAGGAGGGAGGATCTCCTCCTGTGTTCACCCCCTAAATGCTGTTAGTGCCTGGAACACGGGCCAGACTTGCCCTGGAGTAAAGAGCGGGGCTCAGGCCGGGGTGTTGAGGCTCCATTACCAGCACATGCTCCATAAAGCCCCCTCCATGCACAGCACACTGGACGTCACGAACCTCCAGCAGGTGTGGGAGAGACCAGGCTGGAGGGCTGACATTCTGAATCCCGAAATGTTTTAGCAGGCACAAAGCTGCCTGAAGCGAAATACAGGCCAAGGGCTCCAAAGTAGGCCAGACCTGCTCTTACGAAAACAGGAGGCTGGGTGGTGGGGAGGAGAGAAAATTAGGCTGAGAGGCTAAAGGTTAGATTCTGGTCCTGGTTCATCTGCTCACCGCCCTGGGTGAGTGTAGAGGCGCCATGCACCCTCTAAATGTAAATGCAAACTATTGCATTTACCATTTATCCAATTTTCAAAGAGGTGCCTGGCCCCCCAAATGGAGCCACTGTGCTAGTCTGCAGACTTGGGAAAGTTCTCTCTTCTCTCTGGGCTTTGGTCTCCTCATCTCTGAAACAGAAGCACTTTAAATGTTAGCTCCTAAAGTTTAAACTTAAAGTGTTTTTCTTTTAGATGGGGTAAGCGTTCTCCCTACCATTCCATTTACACCCATAAGCCCTTTCTGCACAGTGTGGCAAATACCCAGTTCGGCCCCAGGTGCAAATGATCACAAAGTCCACTGGTCCTTCAAGGCTCTCTCAACTCCTGCCTGTCCCCAGAGACTTCTCCCGACCGCTCCTGCAGCCCACTTCCCTTCTCAGAAAGCTTCCCTTTCTCTGCCGATTTTACTCTACCTGGTACTTCTTATTCTCTCTGGAAACCTACCAGGTGGATGGAAGTCATGGGAAGAGAAGACAGGACAACCCGACAGATAGACCCTCTGTCCTGACACCAGAGGATGTGGGGAGGCCCCTGGGAAAGCTCAGTGGCCCAGGGAGAGGAACTGAGGAGAAAACCTGATGTCCCAACACAGATGGAGACTGCCTCCCTTGGCCTGAGTGTGGGCCTGCGCCCTCTTCACACCTCCAGGCACAAGGAGCACCCACTGATACGGACAATGCAGGAAGGGAAGGTGTTTGGGCTGGGATCCCAAACCAGACCCCAACCAGATTGAGGGAATTGCCAAACAGACGGCATCAATCTGGTGTTTGACCACAAGGGGACAGCAGAGATTCCCCCAACTGCTGCCTGGGTTGAGCGCTCCCTTCTAGAAGAGCTGACACCGCCCCGGTGAGGGTCCGGACAGACCACCTGGACATCCCCAGCTGTCTCTCAGGGCCTCAGATCAGATGCTGGCATGGACACAGCAACACCTTCCCATCACCTGGAGGACTTCCGGTAGGAAAGCCCTCGCTCACCATGCCGTCTGCTCTAGAACTCCCACCCCCACCCCCAGATTCCCGCAGCTACTCCCGCCTCTGTGTAAGAAGCACAAGGACCACCTAAGGTGCTCTTAGGAGGGCCAATATTACAAATGACTCATATCAGCTCCTTAAAGCAAGTCCCTCAAGGACTTCTTGGTGGAGAGTTTGAAACACCTGGAAGGTCAGGTTTCGGACCACCCAAACCTACCTAAATTCCAACTCAGGGTCTAGAAAAAAGGCAGCGGCTCTCTTCATCTCCCCAGCGGCTCACCTGCTGCCTGCCTACCTGTGATGGTGACGGAGCCATGAGCGTCCTGTCGCAGCACAGGGTTGCGCACCAGGCAGCTGTAGGTGCCATTGGCGCCCAGCACCACCCTCAGGACGCTGCGCACGTCGAACAGGCCCTGCTCGTTGGCCATCTGCGACGTGGTCACGTTGCCCGTCAAGGGGGCGCCCTGCCCGTCCTGCCAGAACACCTCGGCCTCCGGATAGCCCCGGTAGCTGGAGCACGTGATGGTCACCATGTCCCCAGGCCGCAGGTCCTTGTTGGGCTCCAGGGTCATGCTGGGCTTCGAGTAGGGAGCTGGAGTGGGGCAGAGGGTAGAGGGCAGAGGTCGGGGTAAGGCAAGGACGGGACGGGGGGAGTCTCAGGGGAGGAAAGGGCGCCTGGAGGGACAGGGCTCAGCAGTGGGGCTTGAGTTACGGGGTCAGTGGTGGCGCAGTGGGTGAGGGGCTGCGGGAGGTGAAGGATGAGGCGAGGGGAGGGCGCCCCGTCCCGGCGCTCACCGGCCACCTGCAGGCTGACTGCGGCGCTGCCGAAGTCCCGGATGCTCACGAAGCAGGTGAAGCTGCCCTCATCAGCCACGCGCACGCGCTGCAGCCGCAGGGACGCGTTGCCCTGAGCCAGCAGGTCCGGGAAGAGCGCCGTGCGGTTGGCGTAGGCGCTGCCCTGGTCCCGGCCCTCGGCGAAGCTGTGCACCAGCTGCTTGGTGTCCGTCAGCTGCCAGATGAGGTTGAGCTGCGCCAGGCTGAAGCCGGGTTCGGGCGAGAAGGAGCAGCGCAGGGTGGCGTCGGTGCCCACCAGGGCCACCACGGGGTCCTCGGGGACCTGGACCTCCACGGCACCTGGGGGTGAGGTTGGATAGGCGGTGAAGAGGGGTGGGGACACTCTGGGCTACCAGCCCACAGCCTCCCAGATTTCCCTCTTTGTTCCTGTTCCATCTTCCCACTTTCTCTCCAGACTCAAAAGCAGACTGAGTCTCCGGATTCCCAGATGTGGAGTCACCCTAATCTTATGACAAGAATCATAGGAGGTTGACCTTGGCCTGACAATGCCTGTTCCGGGAGGGCGGGCGGGGGGGGGGGGGCGGGCAGGCCGGGGACAGCATCCAGCCCTAGCACCCCCCCCCCCCCACGATGGATCCATTTCCCTCTCCTATCCTTACTCTCTTTCCAGAGGTTTCCGGAGCCCTGGAGTCAGGAGCCCCGGAGAGCGAAGAAGGTCTGTGATTACTGTCCTCGTCCCCTACCAGCAAGGTAAGGTTCCTTGCCTCCTCACCCTGTTTATCCTTCCTGTTTTCATTACTAGGAATTTCACCTTCTGCGAGACTGAAGGTATGGAGCTAGATTCAAATCCCGCAGCCCCGGCCGATAGGACAAAAACCTCCCTCCCTCGCGGGGGACATTTAAGCAAAAAACAAACAAAAAACAAACCTGTGGGGCTTCTATGGGGCGTGATGGTGACGGAGCCATGAGCGTCCTGTCGCAGCACAGGGTTGCGCACCAGGCAGCTGTAGGTGCCATTGGCGCCCAGCACCACCCTCAGGACGCTGCGCACGTCGAACAGGCCCTGCTCGTTGGCCATCTGCGACGTGGTCACGTTGCCCGTCAAGGGGGCGCCCTGCCCGTCCTGCCAGAACACCTCGGCCTCCGGATAGCCCCGGTAGCTGGAGCACGTGATGGTCACCATGTCCCCAGGCCGCAGGTCCTTGTTGGGCTCCAGGGTCATGCTGGGCTTCGAGTAGGGAGCTGGAGTGGGGCAGAGGGTAGAGGGCAGAGGTCGAGGTAAGGCAAGGACGGGACGGGGGGAGTCTCAGGGGAGGAAAGGGCGCCTGGAGGGACAGGGCTCAGCAGTGGGGCTTGAGTTACGGGGTCAGTGGTGGCGCAGTGGGTGAGGGGCTGCGGGAGGTGAGGGATGAGGCGAGGGGAGGGCGCCCCGTCCGGCGCTCACCGGCCACCTGCAGGCTGACTGCGGCGCTGCCGAAGTCCCGGATGCTCACGAAGCAGGTGAAGCTGCCCTCATCAGCCACGCGCACGCGCTGCAGCCGCAGGGACGCGTTGCCCTGAGCCAGCAGGTCCGGGAAGAGCGCCGTGCGGTTGGCGTAGGCGCTGCCCTGGTCCCGGCCCTCGGCGAAGCTGTGCACCAGCTGCTTGGTGTCCGTCAGCTGCCAGATGAGGTTGAGCTGCGCCAGGCTGAAGCCGGGTTCGGGCGAGAAGGAGCAGCGCAGGGTGGCGTCGGTGCCCACCAGGGCCACCACGGGGTCCTCGGGGACCTGGACCTCCACGGCACCTGGGGGCGGTGGGGTGCGGCAGTGAGGAGGGGTGGGGCCACTGGGAGCCTCCCTAGTCTTCCTCCCCTTCCGGGTTAATTCCAAGCCCGTCCACCCCTCCTCCTTTAAAGCCTGAGACCCAAAGTAAAGTTGATTACCTGTGATCCTCATCCAGTCAACAAGACTACAGTAAGCACCTACTATTTGTTGAGCATAAGAGTTAGGAATGCAACAGAGAAGAAGACCAAGGTCACACCCTTACAGAGCTTACCTTTTAATGGGAGCGAGGGACAAACTAAGACACAAATTCGCATTAGCATGGGATTAGGGGTATGAAAGATATAAATAAGCCAAAGGATTAGAGGTGGTAGCTTTTCAAAAATTTGACAGGTATTTTACACCTGTCTGTGCTAGTTGTATTTTTACATAAGTATAGGTTATCTTTTTTTTTTTAATTTTTTTTAAAGTTTTTTTTTTTTTTAATTCATGAGAGACAGAGCGAGAAAGGCAGAGGGAGAAGCAGGCTCCCAAGGAGCAGGGAGCCCGATGCGGGACTCAATCCCAGGACCCTGAGATCATGACCTGAGCCGAAGGCAGACGCTTAACCATCTGAGCCACCCAGGCGCCCTCTTTTTTTTTTTTTTTTTAAAGATTTTATTTATTTGACAGAGAGAGACACAGCGAAAGAAGGAACACAAGCAGGGGGAGTGGGAGAGGGAGAAGCAGGCTTCCCATGAGCAGGGAGCCCGATGTGGGGCTCGATCCTAGGACCCTGGGATCATGACCTGAGCCGAAGGCAGACGCTTAACAACTGAGCTACCCAGGCGCCCCAAGTATATGTTATCTTTATTAATCAGAAAGGGGAGTCTAAAAAGGTATATACCAAATGTTAATAGTGGTTTTCTCTGAATGAGAAAGGATCACGAGTGCTTTTTCTTTTTTCTTTTCCTAAATGAACATGATTCGCGTTTATACCCAAAAGAAAGAATGCTCACACCTTTCAGTGGGGTGGTGAGGCACATTCTCACTAAAAGGATATTAAGTTGAGATTTAAACGGAATGAAAAAGAGCCTGACATACAAAAAAGCTAGTGTAAGAGTGTTCCAGGCAGAGGGAACAGCAGGTGGGAAGGCCCTGAGGCAAGATTCAGTTCCCTAAGTGAAAATATCAGGTAGCTGTCCAATGTGGCCGGAGAGTCTGGATGGGAGGGCTTTGTAAGACCAGTAAAGAATTTAGGTTTGCTACATACAATGGGAAGTCACTGCAGGGTGGGGGTGGGGGGGTGGGGGGGGGTGTGATCCCGCATAATCTGTCTAACAATGCTTACAACTCACTCTGGCTTCTCTGTGGAGAACGGATTAAGGACTATTTCAGTGGTCTTTGTAAGAAATGACGTTGGCTTAGCTCCAGAGGGTGGCGGTGGTATTGGAGAGCATGGGACAGATTCAAGGTTTGTTGATAAGGGAGAACCAACAGGACCTGCTGATGAATGGGAGGTGAGGGGAACACAGGAGCAGGAATCCCAGAAGCCTAGCGTCAACTCATCCCCAGAGGCAAGGCGAGGGCATAGCCAGAGAAAAGCCCCCTGGGGCAGATTCCCCTGTTCGTCCCCTGCCCTTTATCCTGTGGATTGGCAAGCCTCCTCACCCAGTCACCTCTGCCTCCCTTCCAGCTCTTCTTTTAGAGCCCTGGGAAGTTAGGCAGGGGTCCCCAAACGCTTCCTCTGGGGAGGCACGCTCTCTGGCACTGCCATTCTTGGGTAAGTGTGTGCTTTGGGCACCAGCAAAGCAGGCACACTCAGTGTAAAAATCAGTCTTGACACAAAGCTGACTGGATATAGCAGCCATCAAAAGTTTCTTGCATTTAGAAAAATAATATTTTTATTGCGAATTACACACAGGGAGAAGGTTATCATGATCTTTGCAGTGTGTAGAGGTCTCTAAAGGTCTTATGCTGGCCCTGGATCTCTCACTGCAACAGCAGATGCCCCAGGCCAGCTCTCCAACTAGTACCCCTCGTAGGGGGCATTTAGGAATGAAACCAGACAAAAGCCCTTTCTCTAGAGAAATCAGAGCTGCAGTGACTAGAGAGTTGCTTCCTCTTTATGACCAGCAGGTGGCACCAGACACTCAGCTTTGTCTTCCCCTATGGCAGAAGAAGGCAGTCTCTCCCTTTGCCAGGGACTGATAAGAATTTAAAATATGAGGATATTATCATTAAAAATAATGCCATTATTGAATGCTGACTCTGTGCCAAGAGCTGTGTGGGAAGAGTTACATCATGTATCCAACATGGTTATCGAGGAGCTACTATGTGGCTGGCATCAGTCCTGGCACTGGGGACAGACCCTGCTCTTTGAGCAGAGCAGACAAGAAGCAGGTAAACATACAACATGTCAGGCAGGGGGAAAGGTTGGGAAGAAGCATGATGAAGTAAGGTCGAGGGTATGGAGAGGTGGTGTGCTATGTTATACAAGGTAGCCAAGAAAACTTTGCTGAGGGGGTGACGTAGGAGCAAAGACCTGAGCGAAATAAAGGATCAAGTCATGCCAATGTGTGGTCATGGAAAGTTCCAGGCAGAGGGAACAGTACGTGCAAAGGCCCTCAGGAGGGAGCACGCACACTGTATGTTTAAGAAACACATTATCACATTAAGTGCTCACATGACCAGTTTACAGAGGAGGAAACGGGCTAAGAAATGCAGAGTAAGTTGCCTATGGAATCCCAGTGGAAATGGGTGGACAGGTGGCAGGGCACAGTGGGAGGAGGTTGGCCAAAACCCTCCCCATCCCTGCGAGACAGACAGGCTTGGCAGGAGCCCTGGTGGGAATGGGCGCCCCCCTTCCAGGCCCCACACTGCTCCCCTCACCTGTGATGCAGAACCACAGTGCTGCCAGGACTGTGGCCAAACGCACACGCACGCCCACACCCTCGCTGGCCCAGTGACCCAGCATCTTCCCGAGAGGCAGCTGACAGCTGGGCTCTCCGTGGTGGAAGGCTGCCCCTGCGTGTGAGGGAGAGGAATTGAGGACTTTGTCTCCAAGGGTCTTCCCCAGGCCCGCCCTCACCTACTGCCCCCCTCCCCCGCCCCAGCTCGGGGGAAGGCTGCAGTTGCCCAGTGGCAGGTCCTCCCTCCCACACCCTACAAGGCTCCCCACTGAGGGTTTTTTTTTTGAGACATGCTAGCTGGCAGGAGGGAACTGAGTCACTGGGGAGGATAGACCAGGGCACACGGGGCAGGGGGGGCAGCTGGGACCCACCCTTTCAGAATTAAGATGTTGTTACAAAATACAAGGAAGATGAGGCAAGTTGGCAAGTAGAGGCAAGGTTGGCCAGCCCAGGGCAAGAATGTGCGCAGGTCAGTTTGGCTCAGTTTGACTCCAGACAACAGCTGGTGGGGAGAGTAAGGGCTGAGGCTGGAGCCAGGCGTGGAGATAGGCTGAAAGGTCTGAAGTTTATCCTGAAGGCAACTGGGAGCCGCTGAAGGTTCTGGAACAGGGGAAAGGATATGGTCAGAGCTGTGCTCCATAAAGATGACTGAGAGCATCTGCAGGATAAAGAAGAGATAAAGCAGGTCTGGGTGACGACAGCAGCACTGGAGGACATGGGGAGAGAGGAAGGGGGCAGTCAGGGTGGCCATGGTTTTGAGCCCAGTGAGCAGGTGGGGCAGTAACTGAGACAGAACATGGAGGCGGTCGGTGTAGGGCGTGGGAAGTTAGCAGTGTTTGTGCAGAAACTTCCAGGGGAGAGTTCTTGGGAGGCAGCTGGTGTCAGACTATGGGGCCCGAGAGAGAGGACACTTGCTAATTGGACACCTTTTAGCGAGTGACTGAGACCAATCAGAAATGGAAGAGGCCCGGCCTGGGGTGAACCCCAGAGGCTGCAATCAGGACTGAGTGAGAGGTAAGTCTGTGGCCACAGGTGAGACCTCCCGGGGCCCAGCCCTGCCCCCGATCCTGGCTGCCCCCCACAGTGTCTGACTTGGGTGGGCTGCATCCACCTTCACCCTGTCCCACAGCTGCTGCCTCACTGTTCACACCATATCCCGATGAAGCCACGTAACCAGTGTGGACTTAGGCTATCCAACACAGTTCAACAAGAACGCAGTTGATTTCACATTCTCACAACCCCCCAGGGAGACAGCCGCATCGACTTGGTCTATTTTGCAAGAGAAAAAAATAAAGCCCCTAGAAGTGAGGTGCTTTTGTTAATGTGATGTAATCTGCCAGTTAGCAAGCTGGGGAGGGTTTGGGTTCCCAACCTCCTGGCACAGCTTTCTGCCCCCCCCCCCCCCCCCCAAGGAGCAGACCTCACCCACAGCCAGCCAGCACCATCATTTTGGTCACAGGCACCCACCTCAAGCCTTCCAGTCCCAGCCAAGCACCTCCCCGCCCCCAGCAGCTGGCCTGAGGGAGTCCCTCAGCCAAACCGGGTGCATCCTGCCCCCCCCCCCCCAGCTGTCCACAGCGGGGAAGCCCTGAACAGCCACTTCCTCCCCAGACACTTCCGGCCCAAACCTGGCAACTTCAAAGCCTCACCGCCTGCTGACTCAGCAGCCTTCCCGCTCCATTCATAAAGGCACCCTTGGCGAGCACCACATCCTGCCCTCAAGGGCAACCCCTTGGCCGCAGGAAGAGCTAGCAGGCTGCAGCCTCCGCGCTGTCCCCCTCCCCCACCCCCACCCCAAGGAAGCACCAGGACCTAAGGATTAAGAAACTTCCAGATTCTAAGACTCCTTTCCTCTCTTTCACCCCCAGAAGAAAACCAAGGCCTATCTGTTCTTCCCAGGCCACCTCCCTCACCCTCCCCACTGCTGCTTATGCCTGCCACTCCCACCCTGACCCTCCGGTGACCTTCCTGAGAGGCCCTGCTATCTCCACTCTGCCCCCACAAACCCCACTCTGTACGACGTCTGCTCTCAGCGCCTAAGATAGGAATCTGTTCACATCCTTACCCATGCTCAAGAACCTTTCGTGGCTCCCCATTTAGTACAGAAGTAAAGCCACTTTCCTCTGGCTGGCACTCAAGACTTTTCTTATGAGGTCTCCATATATCAAGCTTTTACTCACCAGGGTCTTTTGGGAATGCCTGCCACCTCCATGAATGTGGGGGAGGTCAGGGAGCACCTCCCTCCTGATCAGACCTACCAGGGCTCCACAAGGGCCAAGCTGTCCTTCACTCTAGAGGGAAAATGGGAGGATTTCCAGGGATGGGCGTTGAGCTTACCCCCTGTGGTTACCTTCCTAGACTCTGAACCCAGCAAAGTTCCCACTGTCATGGCTTACCCTAGGGAAAAACCTGACAGCCTAGAACCAAGAAGACCTGAGAATTCCACCGCACCAAGAGGTTCCTACCCCAACAGCTGGTCCCCCAGCGACTGAGAGAGGGATGGAGAAACAACTCTCGGAGACAAGGTGCTGCTCAGGGAATGCGAGCATGGCCTGGGAACAGAAAGCCCATCACTGCTCTTCAGGACAGATGGGCTGCCCTTGGAGACACACAGATCTCATGCTGCGTTGGCACCACCTTGCCCACCTTCTCTACAAAGGGGAATTCTCATCCCATGGTGGGACCTGCCCTGGAGTCAGCATGTACCACCCCTCCTAGTGAGTCACCAGCCAGCCCTCCCTCCTCCTCTTCCTTCATCCCAGTCTCAGCCAAATGTGGGAACTCCAAAGAGTCCTGCCAAGAAAGAACACACAGTGCTTTGGCTTTCCCCCGGGAAGCAGGACTGAGGGGCCCAGGCCACGCTTGGCCTGAAGGTGCAGCAAGTTCATTCAACCCCAGCAGAGGTGCAGTCACAGGGAAGCTCCCAAGAGAGGACCCAAGATGTGCCTCCATTAAGCCCAAACCAATAAACAAAGGCTGAGACTGGGCTCTTGGTAGAGAGCTCTTGGCTCAAGAGGAATTCCTTGCCCCCACCATAACCACCCCATATCTCTTAACCCCCTGCTTCCTCCCAATCCCTGCAGGGTCCGCTTAGACAGTGCTTCCCACTAAGAGGGCAAGAAGGGTCAAACCACATAACTAGTGTCGATCTCTGCTAACCAGTATAGCACAGAGACAGAGCTTCTGCAAACAGCAGTTAAGCACCTGGACCAAGCTGTGCCTGAAACAAGTGCACACCTAGACTGTCCAGATACTTGAGTCAATCCTTTTTTTTTTTTTTCTTCAAGCTAGTTTGAGCTAAGTTTCTATTATCTGCAACTGAAAGACTCCTTGAATATACATTTGTTTGTGTATTCAGTAGTGCATTTAACTATTCACTGAGTACCTGGTAGGCAGGCACTGGGGCCAGAGATGACTAAGCTATGTGTCTGTCCTCAAGGAGCCTGCAAGGAGTGCCCGTGATTCACTGCACTTCAATACAGTACATTATTTAAGATACAGTGAGGGCTACTTGCAGGTACCTCAGAGACATAATAACCCTAAAGGTGAGTCCAGAAAAATGATGAGCAGCATCCCAGGTAGACAGGCTGGGCAGGGTGGCTTCTCGCCATCCCCAAGACACCTGTCCTCCTGGCACTGCCTGAGTGCCTCTCAACCAGATCCCTTTGATCTTAGGGTTCTGGTCCCAGCTCTGACACTGCTGTGCAATTTTTAACAGGTGACTTCTCTCTAAACTCCATATGTCCATGTATAAAAGAAATGCTTGGCTGGATCCTAGCGGAACAATATTATTATGTTAAATCTTCATGTACTATATCCTTGAGGTCGAGCCAATTAGCTGTCATGCAGGTCATGCTAAAATGTACAAAATGACTGTGGCAGAAACCACTCATTTCCCCCTCATATCTGTTCTCCTCTTCTGTAGAATTTTTAGTTGGGCACATGGCCACTCAGCTGAAGACTACAGATCCCAGCCTGCCTTGTGGGGGGAAAGGTGTGTCCGGGTGACCATCTTCTGGCTAATAGGATGTGAGAGGAACTGATGTGTACAACGTCTGGGTCAGACCCTTAAAGAGAGAGAGCACACCCTCTCTTGTCTCCTCCCCTTTCCCACTAGCTGGAACACAGCTGTGGTGACCATCTGAGACCATGCTGCCAAAGGCAACACTCTGGGGACTTCAGAACAGCAAGACCCAAGGCCCTCGGATGGGCTGCAGTATCAGCCCTGGACGGACCTGGCCTGTCACATGGGTGAGAATAAGCATCTACTCTAGCGTCACTGTTATTTTGGGTCTTTCTGACAGCATCTGAAGTGACTAATTTAGGGAGCCATCCCTCCCCTCCTTTCCCTCCTCTCTCCCGCTCTTCCCACCCCATGAAAATTGCCACTGCTCGGAGAGCGAGAAAGGAAACCACATCTAGAATAGGTGTTTCAAAATACAAACTGGACGCTATCTCCTGAGTCACTTGGTGATGCCGGGGCCGGGCTCAGGGTAGGTGTGACCTGGCTTGGGGACTGTTTTGTTTGTATGGGAGGGAGGGGCTGAGAAAGTCAAGGGTGTCCTGAAGGCCTGAACAAGTGGGCACTTGGGGGCACACATCATACGATGGGGAGACCTGGAAATGAAGCACGTGTAGGAGGAAGAACAATTCCTACTGGGCTTGAGCTACAGAGCATCCATGCCAAATGCCACATGGACTCCTGGACACACGGAGCTGGAGCTCAGAACAGCACGGGGAGCTACCCATGCATTGGGAGTGATGGGAGCCAAAGTTGGGATTGTTGAGGGAGATTGTGGAATGAGGAGAGGTCCCCCAGCAAATTCTGGAGAATCTGCAGAGGTTAATGGTCAAGTCTCAGAATAGGGAACCTCTCTCGGGCCACCCTCACGACCCGTTTGCTCCCTCCAGTGATGGATACCCACAGCCTCCCGAAGAAATCCGCTGTTTGGGGTGGCCATCACTGGGGAAAGCTCTGCCTTGTCCTGAGCCCAAATCTGTCTCCCGTACCGCCCCTTTCAGTCCTCCTTCGACCTTGTACTACAAGTCTGCCCCCTCCCTGCACGTTTTAGATCTTCTCCCTTGACGAGGCCACCCTGGGCAGCCATGCCACTTTGTTCACCAAAATAACCCAAAATAATAGACTATCAAATCTGTGGCGAAAGACTGGGAGCCATTTACTCGCATTGCTGTGGATCGTCACCTCTGCCATCCTCTTCTGATGGACCTGGGGAAGAGCTGGAATTTTATGGGATAGTTCATTTGCGTCACTGTTATATTTCATCCACTTAAGCCAACTCCGTCACCCCAACTGCCACAATCTTTCCTTTTAAATTGTGGCAAAACACATGGAGTGTGAGGTTTACCCTTTCAACCATTTGAAATGTGCGGTTCAGTGGGGTGAGGTGCAGGCACAGTGTTGTGTGATAGCGATAGGCACAGGAGATAGCGTCCATGTCATGATCTTTTTGTAGCACTGTTGTGACACTTCCTGGCACCTAGAAGGTGCTTGATAATTTTGTGGTCGGTGAAAAAAAGAAAAATGAATGTCACCCAGAAAGGTTGCTCTCTCCTCGCCGCTTTGTTTCTTGTGTCATCAA